GTGGTGGTGGTCATGGTGGTAGAGGTGGTGGTCATGGTGGTGGTGGTAGTCATGATTGGAAAGGAAGAGAAGGAAGGGCATGGCTGCTGTAAAAGAAGCCCTCCCCCCACAGTGACTACCTGCCCTTTCTATCTTGCTGCCTCACTGACCCCTTGGCCTGAGTCACGTGGGGCCTGGAGGACATGGTCTACCCATCCGCAGTGTCCACCCAGCGCTCACTCCCAGCTCCTCCTCTGCCTGGCTCCTGGTCACGGGTCTGCTCTCACTCAACGCTCTCCCTCTGTCCCTTCCTCCCTTGGATGTGAGGTCCCTCTGAAGAAAGTCCTCTCCCCTCTCAGCGCCCCAGACACACCAGGTAACCCCGACCCCCAGACACACCAGGTAACCCCGCCCCCTGGAAGGAATTCAGACACCATTCAATGGGCCCAAACTTTCCCTGGAAACTGGACAGAGAAGGCTGGTGGCTGGAATCACAGATGGCTGTCATCGTGGAAGTTCCAAGCTGGGCTTACCCGGGTATGTGTGGTGTGGGGAAGGAAGTGAACCCCCTCTCTCAGCTACTGTCACCAGAGCCCCTCACATCCCAGGAAGCCATGGGACCCCTCTACTGGCCTTCCGTCATCACCTCCCCACAAGCCCCTGTTCCCCAGCTGCTCCTGCCTCCTTGCCCCCCCCCCAGCCCCCCAGCATCCTGCAGGAAGCAGGTTCCCAGAGGATGCAGCTCAAGGCATCTGAGGTAACATGGGGGCTGGGGGACTTGGCTAAGGGCCTGACAGTCCCCAGGCCAGAAGGCAGGTGCTGGGAAGTAGCTTCAGAGGGGGATCTGGGGGAAGGGCTCTAATGGCCCTGCCTACCTGGTTACAGCTCCCCCAGATCTGCCAGGGCTCAACCACATGCAGCACCCTGGGACACATGCTGCTCTGGCCCAGCCCTGGCCTCTGAAGACAGCCACCAAGCCCTGTTCAGGAAGCAGATGGGCCCCCAAATCTTCTTATTCCAGTCCAGGAAGGCCATGCCCTGGGGCTGGGGACCTGTTGGCAGCCAGAGAACATGCTAGGACATAGCTATCTCATTTGACTCAGAGAGCGCTGGGCCTTGGGTTCCACAGCTCCCGCTTTACAGAAGAGGAGACTGAGGCCACAAGCAGGGTCGGCTGATGGCAGCTGGGAAGGGAGTTGCCAGGGGAAGAGACTGTGGCTAGGGGTGGGGGTGGGGGGTGAGCTGAGCGCTTCCACCCCCTTTCCTGTTGTTCCATTCGCTGCTCCCTGCTCCACTTCCTGGCACAGGATGCCAGAGGCCTGGGCTGAGCCCCGGAGACCCCACAGCCATGCTTGGCTGAGACTGCTCTCTGTCAGCAAAGGCATTTGTGTGCTGTGTCCCTGTGCACAGTGGGCACGCTAGGTGGATGCGTGTGTTTGTGTGCATGCGTGCATGCATGCACACGTGCCTGTGTGTGAGTGCACAGACATAGGTGTACCTCTGCAGAATACAGGTGCCATGTGGGCAGTGGAGGGGCTCCCGCTTTGTTGGCTACTGGGTCCCCTGAGCCTGGAACAGTGCTGGCACACAGTAGGTGCTCGGTGAATGAATGAATGACTGGATGGATGAATGAGTGAGTGTGTCCTAGTCCACAAGTTCCAAAAACCCCAAAGAGCCTAGAGACATCTGTCCCAAGACCATGAGGCCAGGTGGGTCTCTGTCCCTTGGTGTCCTTAGAATGCCCCACGCTGCTGTTTCGTGGCCTGGGGAGGTGCTCACCCAGAGGGCCCCAGGGTGGGGGCTGGACACAGACAGAATTGGGACAGGGACCGGAGACCACCCCAGCTCTGTTCAGACTCACTTCTCCCCAGGTCTCACCCTGGGGACCCATGCCCACCTGGCAGGCCTCTCCCCTATCCTTGCCCATCTCCTGCAGACCCTTGCCCTCTGTCTGTCCTCCACTGCCAGAGGTCTGGGTAGGGGCTTTGTCATTCCACCTGGTCAAAGCATCAAAGCCACAGAGAGCCACTCATTCTGCTTTGGGGGAAAGAGGTGCGGGCCCCTCAAAGAAGCGAGAGGATGAAGTCCTGACTTCATTTTTCATGCCATGCCCCTGGCTGAAGAAACAGAGCCCTCCACACCATAATTTCCATCAGCCCTGGGCACGGGCCACTCCTGGTGTTCCAAGGACAAGAGCCAGGCCCAATTGTCCCTGCTACCAAGCTGCCAAGAGACTTGGTTTGAACTGGTGTTAGCTGACTCTTGAGCCTGGGCCTGTTCCTGGGGCAAAGGCATGGGAGTGAGGCCTAGAGATATGGCAGGGAGATAGAAGATGCTGGGGGTCAGGGACACGGAGGGACACTTAGTTTCATCAAAGTGGCCCGGGTCCTGGTCACTCAGAGACCAGTCAGAGCCCCAGAGGCCCAGTCTGCAGCCAGAGATCAAGATCCTGTCTACCCCTTCTCAGCCACTGAGCGCTCCCCGCTCTGTAAGCCTGTCTTGGTAGGGGGGTGGGGGATAGAGCAGCAGCCCCAAGCTCATCCATTCTAACTCAGCGCCCCTCTAGCGCCCCTACAGGATAGAGTAGGACTGGTACGTCTTCACCGGAGCCACTGGTGGGTCTGAAACGCTGACCACGCAGTTAGCAGCCCGGTGCTTCATCCATTGAGTCCCCAGGGCTCTCTCTGTCGCACAAAGTGGTGACCGGGGAACAGACACAGGCTGGGGGCCCAGCAGGACTCTAGCACACAGACTGGAAGGCTAGGCGGGTCAGGGGGTAGGACGTGGACCTGTGACGCTTCCTTGTCCACTTAGCAACCACAGAATGCTGAGGGTGCAGCCTACCCTCTTGTCCGGCCGGCCATCACTGGGAATACCAGGAACCCATTTCTCACGGGACCATTGCTTTCGGGGCTGGTGAGCTGGCCCTAGCCCAGGGTGCCCCAGGCCCAACGGGATTGGACCGCTCTAGGTCACAAAGGGTGGGGGGAGTGGGGGATGACTTGATCTTTGAAAGTAGACCACCAGGCCTTTCTTCCTTGTTTTAGTCTAGAAGCTCAGCCGAAACCTGCCCTGCATCCCAGTGACTCAGAAGTTGTCAGGGACAGATGGGTGGTGTCTGAGCCAGGAACTGAACCCAGATCTGCATGGCCGAGGAGCCGCCTGCCGCCGGACGGACACACACACACACACACACACACACACAATCTGAGCTTGCTTCTAAGTGCTACTGAGTGGTTACCTCCTAGCAACATCAGTGGCCACCGGGCTTTCTAGGTGGTGGGTATGTGTTGGGCTCCTAACTACAAGGTCAGTAACTCAAAACCACCCATCATCCCGTGGGAGAAAGACGGTGCTTTCTAATCCTGTGTACAGTCACAGTCTCGGAAACTCACAGGGGCAGCTGGACTCCGTCACTATAAAAGGGCATCAGCTCCATGACGTGAGCCCAGGTGGGCACTGTCCCGGGTCTGGGCTCCTTGGCTGAGGCAGTGGCGCCACCTGGTGGATGCTGCTGGAGCACCTGCGCCCACAGTAAGCTGGCGGTGGGCCCAGGCCTCCTAGGGTATGAGGTCAGAGAATGTTCCCACCCCACCCTGCTCCTCCTGGGGCCTGGAGAGGGGACAGGAGGAATCACCCAGGTCATCCTCACCTTTCCCCCAGTTTTCCTGACCACAGCTAACGGGGACCTCCTTTCTCACCTGCTAACTCCCAACCTCCAGGGGACTTGGACTCCCAGTGAAAGCCCCTTTGCACAGTATTGGAGCAGTCCCGGTGGTGTGGTACTTACTCGCTGGGCTGCGATCTGAATGGTTGGCAGTTCGAAACCACCAGCAGCTCCAAGGGAGTGAGACAGGGCTTTCTGCTCCAACAAACAGTTCCGGTTTCTCTCGGACACCCACAGTGGGGCTTGCTGAGTCGTGGAGACGGTTTTTGTTAGACAGGATAGAACAGCCCCTGTGGCTTGAAACTGTGCCTCTTCGCAGGAGTAGAAAGCCTCGTCTTCCTCCCCAGGAGCGGCTGGTGGTTTCAATCTACAGACCTTGTGGCCCAATGAGTAACCACTACGCCAGCAAGGCACTGCTATGGAGTGCATAATGACCCAGAGCTACCCTAGATAGGCCTCCCGAGACCGTGGATCTTGTTTTGCATGTGTTCTTTGCTTAATTACTGCTTCAGTCTAACAAAGTAAAAGAGAGCAAGCTATGGATAGGAATGCCACAATCCTGTAGCCCAAACATCAGACATGTTGACCAATTCGGGGCAGATAAAGACACTGGCAGCAATGAGAAAGACAGTGTATGTTACAAGACAAAGCGCCCACCTGGAAGCCGCCTGTCACTGGGTCAGTGACAGCCCTGACCCCGCCCGGGGCATCAAAGGGCCCACAGTGAGCAGCATGGCACTGAGCCTCCTGGGCACAGGGACACAGGGAAGCTGGGCTGATGAAAAACGTTTCTGGCGTCCCCACTGACTAGAGGGATATGTTTATAAACGGCAATGAACCTCTGCTGAGACACCGCACAGATATTTCACAGTCGCACCCGGTGTGATCTGCACCCCTGCAGTCCCCGAGTGACCGCTGCACTCGCGATTGCTGTTTTAGTCACCCACTTAAACCAAACCCACTGCCACTGGGTCGATGCCAGAGCAACTCTACAGGACAGGGGCGACCTGCCCCTGTGGGTTTCTGAGACCATCCCTCTTGACGGGAGTAGAAAGTTCTGTCTCTCTCCCTCAGAGCTGGCTAGGGATTTGAACTGATGACCTTGCAGATCACAGCTCAACACGTGGTCACCACTATAGCACCGGGGCTCCTTTCAGTCACTCCCCTTAGATTCTGAAAATCACATATGAGTGCCCTTCCTCGCCTTCCTCGAGTGGGGCTGGGAATCTCCCTGGAGTCTGTGAGTCTTTACCGGGGCAGACAGCCTCATCTTTCTCCCTTGGAGTGGCTGCTTGGTTTGAACCGCCAACCTTGCAGTTCGCTGCGCAATGCCAAGCCCACTGCACCGTCAGATCAGATTCTAAATTGCACTCTTTAAAAACAAAACCAACTAACTCACTGCCATCGAGGTGACACATCGTGCCCTACAGGCCAGGGCAGAGCTATCCCTGTGGGGGCCCCGAGACTGGCGATCTTTATGGGAGTAGAAAGCATCGTCTTTCTCCAGAGGAACAGCTGCTGGCTTCGAACTGCTGACCAGGGCTCCTCATGCTGCCCTAAAGAACTGATGGGGGGCTGGGCACAGGACCCGTGCACACAGGTGAGCTTCCTTCCAAGTCTCACCTTTCATCTTGAAAAGCTCCCCGAATTCTGCACACCAGCTTTGGAAATGTTTCCTCCATAAATTTTTCTCTCTTTTTTTAGAGAGAAAGACAGCGAGGTTTAACCTGTGGCTACTCTGAGCCTCCTCCTCACCAGCCCACTTCCCATGGGAGGGCACCTGTACCCTGGCCTCAGAAGTAGGAGCCCAGGGCTGTGGTCTACACCCCTCACACCTGGCTGTCCCCAAAAGTAGGCAGCCCCCACCCCAGCCCCTTTCGCCAGCCCTGAATCCCCACCCAGGCTGAGCAGGACCAAGACACCCGCAGGGATCCTTCCCCCACTGGGGGACAGAAGCAAGGAGCCTAGGAAACAGCGCCCCCGAGTGGCAGGCTGGGTTGTTACAAATGTTCTTTAATCGTCTTCACACAATGTCACACCCAATCCATTCCTGGGAGGACAGAGGGCTGCAAGTCACCTCCTCCCCCTCCCAGGCCCCCAACCCAGACCCTCAAGATCCCTGGTGGGGGGGGGGTGTTGTTCAGGGCCAGCTGGGGGCTGGGCAGAGGCTCAACCCCTGGCCCTTCGTCAGCCAGGAGGAAGTCCCTCAGGCCCCTTTGGGCCCAGCCCATGAAGACCCAGCTGGACCCCAGCTGATTTGCGCTGCCTGGATGAGCAGGGGTCTGGGTGGGGCAGGCCAAGGGAAGGGACACTGTGCCCTAAGGCCAGCCATCCCCCACCCTCTCCCACTACCCAAGACATTAGCATCATGGGTCCATGCTATCCCACCCCTGCCCAGCAGTGGGCAGTCCCCTCCCCACCATGCTTTAATCAGAGTCCCAGTGTACAATGGAAACTGGGGGAAGTTCATTCAGAAGGCTCCTTAGAGGCAAGGATGGCGAGACTTGATTTCGCGTACTTTGGACATGCTGTCAGCAGAAGGCCAGCCTGCTGGGTAGAGTAGAGGGGCACTGAGAAAGAGGCAGCCCCCCGACAAGGTGGACACACAGAGTGGCCGCAACAATGTACTCAGCCAGTGCACAGTCAAGAGGGCGGCAGCCTTCTGTCTGGGGGTAGGGGGCCGGGGGAGGAGGTGGTTGTGAATGGGAGCCAAACCAGCATCACCTAAAACAGACAGCGGGC